AAGCCCAGTTTGATCAGTTTCACTCGATCACAGGGAAGCCCATTTCAGCCCATCAGATGCTTGATCGCAAAGTCTCGTTGTGAAGACCACTATCCCGAACTTTCCTTATTTAACTTTTTTTCTCGCTTATATAAGCAGCCTCTAAGGGTTTTCCCGAGGGCATCCAGTCTTTATTTTCAGTTTTTACCTAGACTTGTTTTCATAGCCGCAGTGTGTTCTTCCTGCGACTTTGTATTCGCTTTCAAGTATTTTATAATTCAGTTTTTGTTTCAGTCTTTATCATTTCCTGTTATCATGTTTTCAATCGTTTCATTGCTATTGTTTTTGATTATGTCTGAGTAGTGAATTGTATTTCTGAGGATGGGATAGAGTAGTCGTGGTTGCCCTAGTCGCTTTAGATGGTTGAGTTTAGATTGTTTGAATCCCTTCTGGATTAGTTGCGCTTATTGCTTGTTCCTTTCTGATCAACTGGAAAATGAATCCAGACATTCCCACACCCAAAAGGTGTTTGATGGAATGTCTGATCCACTAATTCCAGAGATACTCGTCTCTATCCCAAGGTATTGGCCGTTTAGAGCGGGTATTGGCTTTAACAAGTTGATTCGATATTGCCTGCTTAGTTAGAGATCGCTAATGGTGATTAGGTCTGTGTCTAGCTCTGCTTGAGAATTTCTATCACGGTGGTGAATTGATTTGCTTTTGAACTTGTTGTCAAGGGATAGCTTCTGTGAAGTTTTGTCAACCGTCTAAATAGATTAAGGAGACCACGCTATTCGATTACCCTGTCCTTAGGAATCTCTCATCCATTTGATTGCCTGTTATCTTACCTGCTTTGTTATTCAACTGCCTGCTATTGCTAGTTTGCATTTCAGTTTCATTTCATTTCTGTTATTTCGCATTAGGACTGTTAGAAAACAACAACTCTCTGCTTGGCTTGACTTAGCAAATTCTGATCACATCTCATCTGTTTGCATCACACTAGATTGGATTGACACCCTAAAATACTACAACGACACAATAGTGTTTTAGGATTAATTGTGTGAAAAAATCTATTATCAGTAATATAATTAGATCAAAAATTAAGCGTGATGATTTTTATCATCCAATTCTCTTGACTGTCCATCGCCAGATGGTGTAGTTTTGCCCGCCAGAAATCTGGATTTAGTCTAGAACAACAGGATCTTTATGTTATTCTGCAATAGAAGGAAAAAAAAATTCAATAATCCGAGTAGGTGAAGAAAATAATGCTCAACTAATCTGTGGACCAAAATAGATGGTAAAAAATCTAAAAAAAATTCGAAACTCTTAAATGAGAACAATTGGTGGACAAGATGTGGGATTCATGATAATATAGCAAGATGATGAACTTGGGGACAAGATCTAGACGCTACAGAGAATTTCCAATCGGGGACAAGATCTAGAGACAAAAACGAAAGTTAATTGTTTAGTCTCAGGAGATATAATGTTTATCGGTTAAAGCGCACGTGTCTCGAGGGAAGAGAGATAAATAGGGAAGCAAAACGGTGCAGAGACGTTAATTCTGAGGGAAATTGGTAACTTCAAATACTAAATGTTGTAGGAGTTGAAAGGAAGTTACGTACGAATGTGGTAGATTTGAAAGAAATTGAAAAAAAGTGGCATTTGGTGTAGTTATTCCTAACCAATATGCAGCGTTGTGTTTCACCTATATTATTGTTAGACTTCTCTCGAATGAAAAATTTAGCTTACTGGTTAAACATTCTAGTACTATACACAAGAACGAATGTTCAATAATCATGTAGTTTGTATGTACTGTTTTTTTTTTTTATTTATAAAAGAAAATCCAAACTTTTTATGAAGATCATCCTGAAGTTCAAGGAATCATTCTGACTTTTGTGAAAAAATTTTGCTGGAAAATTTTGACGGAAATTTTCTTTGACGGAAAATTTTTGCATGTTGTAGAAATTTTTTACTCGAAAAATAAATTTTGACGAAAATATAATAAATTGTAGAAAAATATAGTTAATAATACCTAATAAAAAAAGAGTCAATTAGCTGCATGCTAATTATTTGAGAAATAATTAGGTGTGGCATACACAAGTTTTTTTTTTTGCAAAACAAGAGAGAGAAAACTTTGGTTTGGTAAAATTCGGACGAAATTGCCCCTCAAATTAAAAACGGAAATTTTCTGTAGAAGATATATGCGTCATGGAACTTACAGTGGGCCATCACTTATTAAATGCTTCCATCGATAATATATTCTACTACATAATTAAATGTCGTGATATCTTGTTTTTTATCGGATACATGGATATATATATCAATACATCGTAATATTCTATTAATATTGTTTACATATGATATATCACTATAGAACATTGTAGTGGTTGTGATAGGTGAGTGAAGTAAATTTAACATTGTAGTGGTTGTGTTGAATTGTATGTTAGTGGCGGAGGAGGTGATGGTGATGTGAATGAAGAATATATTGCGGTTGAAGAGAAGGTGGTGATAGTGAACGGGATATAAATTATATTGGCGATGACATAGGTGAGACTATGACGATAAATGAATTGAGAGACAAAGATGCTTAACTATCACTAGATTTGTTCTTAGCGTCGTTGGTTGACGGTGTCTCAAATCATCTCTAACAGAAGCTCAATAATAACGAACGACACCCAAACATACGACGACTCTATACCGAAATTTTTTTTAAGGTTTATGGAGTACATTTTAATCAGAAAAATGCGACGAGTTTAATGAATTCAAAATATCATAATTTTAGATGCAATCAGTTTCACAATTAAGAAGAATCATTTGTTTGGGGTTTTGATAAAGTAAAGAAAAAAGAAAAAAAATAAATAAATAATAAAAGGAAAGAGAAACGAAGAAGGAATGAAGAAAGAATGAAGTGTTTGATTTTAGGGGTATTTTAATCTTTTTGTCATGTTTTCAAATGATCATTTATTTACAGGTTTGCCACTTCTCCTTTGACTTAAATACTTCTCAGTCTTAGGGTATGTAGTGTAATTACTCATAATAAAACAATTTGTAGAAGTTTAAGGTTTGAGTGCTAATTGTGTCCATAAATTAAGTGTTGTAAGAAACCATTTCTCTTAAAAATATATATATACTAGATAAGGACCCGGGCGTTGCCGGGTTGCCGGTCGATATTATCATTTTCTTTTATTTTTCAAAAATACAGCATAAATAAAAGATTTTGTCCACTGAATATTTTTTCTATACATAAAATATATAATTTTTAATTTTTGAATAGACTTTTCTAATTTATAAATCGAATGTTATATAAGAAGAAAGTAACAATAATTTTTTCTTTTCAAAACAATATGGCATAGTTATTTTTTGATAATATTGTACATGTTTAAATTTTGTAGGAAAAATTTGGCAAGATGCAGTTTTAAACGTATTATTTGAATTATGGAAACCATATACGTAAAACTCTTCATAAAACTGATAGCGATTAATTACCAAATCAAAAAGAGTTCATTCTCATTTAAACAATTAATAACTCAATTATAACTCATTTACAACAACGAAAGAAAGAGACAATAGCCGGGAAAACGGCCATTTTCAACCCCAACTATTTGGGGGCGGGTTTTTCCAACCCAAACTAAGACCCTTTGTCAATTTCTACCCAAACTCAAAACTAATTCAAATTCAAAACCTAAACTAATGAAAATTAGCCGATTTCAACACGACAGAAGACGGTGTTAGCTCGAGATTTAACGGCTCCTGAGTCAGCGATATCGTGGCATTGACGTGGCGGAAAAACGGCCATTTTCAACCCCAACTATTTGGGGGCGGGTTTTTCCAACCCAAACTAAGACCCCCCGTCAATTTCTACCCAAACTCAAAACTAATTTAAATTCAAAACCCAAGCTGCTGCTATATTCATGTAATCTTGTACGTAGTTGGGTCGTGAGAGAAAAACTATTTATATATCGAAGGTGATCTATCATTCGATAGTCCGACTGTGTATTACTTACCATGTGATGGATCTTGGGGTTGTATGATTTCTAAAACAATATGGTATTGTCTCCATTTGTGTCGAGTTGAAATTTTAATGAATGGCAGTGTGGTACCATAGCTTTAGAGTTCATGAATTGTTATGCGGATTGAAATTTTTGTGAATTGTAGTGATGATGATTCAGGTCACGAGACTATAAACACAATTGATTTCAGACAAGTTTCCAGATAGAATGTCTGTACAATGATTCCACTGCAGGAAGAAAGACAAAATCTTTAACTGTGACTTCGACTCCGGACTTATGTCGAGGTGCAGTCACTTCGGACTCTCCTCGTGGTGATAACCACTTCGACTGTTCCTCCGACTCACGGGTCTAATGGGCTTTATCCTTCGTGGGCCGTTACCTTGATTACATGGCAATCTTTGGTTCATCCCGGACTATTGGTGCGGGATCCGACACCAACAGAACACAATTGCTAGACCAAACTATTCAGGAACAAATTTTGCTTTTTCTTGCTATTGCTACATTTCTTTCAGATTCCGTTTACAGTGCCTGTGAATTCATAAAATCGACGAACATTTTTCTGTTTCGAGAGAAAATGAAGAACCCTAATTTTAATTTTTCCCCAAAATTAAAACGACGTCGTTTCGTTGTTTGAAGGGGAAAAAAATAAAACGTCGTCGTTTTCATTGACCAGAAGCCACGTCAGTGAAAACGACGACGTTTTATTTTTTCCCGCCCCCAAATAGTTTGGGTTGGAAAAACCCACCCCCAAATAGTTGGGGTTGAAAATGGCCGCTTTTCCGCCACGTCAATGCCACGATATCGCTGACTCAGCAGCCGTTAAATCCCGAACTAACACCGTCTTCTGTCGTGTTGAAATCGGCTAAATTTCATTAGTTTAGGTTTTGAATTTGAATTAGTTTTGAGTTTGGGTAGAAATTGACGGGGGGTTTTAGTTTGGGTTGGAAAAATCCGCCCCCAAATAGTTGGGGTTGAAAATGGCCGTTTTCCCGACAATAGCCCAATAGGCCCATGTTGTTAATTAAACAACTCGTACAGATTTTCCAAGAAAAGGAAAAATCAAAACGATTCGAAGAAGTAGAATGTAGAAGACGTTTACCCGCTTGAGGTCAGGGCCGGCTATGTTTTGACGCATCATCACCTCCGATTCTCCTACCTGTATCTCAGGTTATTTGTTAGCTCGAATCTCATGAAGGAGATGGTTCTATTCTCTTATCCACATCTCCGGTTGGTATGATTTTTTGCAAAAAAAATGGGATAGTCTCTTAATCTGGTTCTGTTTTGAATTTCATGTGTTGTTGGGAACTCTCGAATGAATTGTAAGTTTGTTTGACCTTTTTCTGTTATAGGGTTTGGTTTGTGTATTGGTTTTGTCGGATTAGATTGCTCTGAATAGGAGAAAGGATTTATATATTTATTTGTAAGTGTTAGAGACTGTAGAGTTTTGTGATAGTAGCCAATTAGAAACCAAGTGGAAGTCGAAAGTATGAGTAGCTGTGAGATCCAGAAGCTACTTCAGGTTTTATTATTGCATATAGTTTATGATGAACTTTTTATTTCGATTGTATTTTATTTCATATTGCAAAGAATGTTATTGATAAATAGCTTGAAGTTAAGAAAATATGTTATTAAAATAAAACATGAAACCCAAAGCAAACATGTAACGTTATTGAAAAGAATTAATGGACAATTGTATAATCGAAACTTTAAATCTGGAAACTAAAACAAACTGTAGATATAACTGTATAAGCTCTGATTTTCATCTCTCTTTAAATATTCTTAATTTCTTTTTATTTGTAGGTGTTATAGAGACTTAAGAGTTTATGTGATAGGAACCAAGGGTAAGTTGAAGATCTGAGTAGCTATGAGATCCAAAAGCTACTTCAGGTTCTTACTAATTATTAGTGGTTTTCTAATGATTTTACGCACTCCAGGGTCCATAATGAATCAGCAACAATGGCTACAGAAGTAGAGTTATAGAAATTGTCAAGGAGAATAGCTCATTCTTGAAGTGGACTTCAAATGGCAAATAAATTGCACAGATGGCTGACGACGTAAGCTGTTTTTTGTTTGTGGAATCTTTCTATTTTTGGTCATTTTTCATACATATATCCGATGAGAACTATCTACTCTTCTAGATTTTAGTCATATAATTAAACTGGCTTCTATGTTTTCGAGGGATCTCTCAATGGAGTTCATATATGAGAAGAGATGTGTAGGCCAACCGCAGAGACGAAATTTTCATCTTTACAGACGTGCCTAAGGTTAGCAATGGATCATATCGTTTTGACTTGCCTTAATTTTTCATAATGCAGTGAGTGTATGTTTAAGAAAATCTTAAATCTAGAGGTGATGATGATTAAAACATGAAACTCAAAGAAAACATGTACAATCGAAATTACAAATCTGGAAACTAAAAGAATTGTAATATTAAAAAACAAACTGTAGATATAACTTTATAGGCTATGATTTTCATCTCTCTATGAGGATCATATGTTGTTGAAAACTTCTTGGTAGACAATATTTTGTAGAACACTGCTATCATAATGTTTTGTCCCAACTTTAAGAATCTGAAGTCTTGCAGTTGTAGTGACTCTTGATAGTGTGACGTATAATTGTCCGTGAGAAAAGACTGGACTTGGCAAATATAAACCTACTTGTTTAAGCTTTGACCTTGGCTCTTGTTAATAGTCATTGCATAGCAAACTCGTACAGGAAATTGGCGTCTTTTTAGTTTAAAAGGCCATTTTGCATCTGTTGGTGTGAGACTTATTCTAGGAAAAAGAACACGTTTTCCCAGATGAGTTCCAGTGAGTATTTCTGCTTCAATAATCCTCTTGCCTAGGCGAGTTATATTAACCTTGTACCATTGCAGAGTCCTTCTCTTTGATTTATATTCCTCAGTAGCATGATCGGTGCATTTATCTTGAGATCTAGTTTGTGATTAGGAATACCAGGAAATTTCAACGAATTTAAAAATTCTGTGGGGTAAAGAATATGTTGATTTGCCACTTCTTTTTTGTCGTCACCAATGGTATCCGAGCTCAAATACTCTTTTTGCTCTCCTTTTAAGCATGATAACATGTAGTTATTCACTTCGTCGACTGTCTCATTTCTTGGAGTAAGAATTGCTCGTTCAATCAGATATTTTTTATCTTTGAAACTTAACTGGAAGTCCTGATATGTAGACTTTGCAATGCATTCAACAGGATCTCCGTTGTTTTGCAAGAGCAGATTGTTGTCTATTTCCACTATGCCAATTTCATCATCTGAGGTTCTGTATTTCTTTGGTTTAGGTGTTGTGCCATCATCGATACCTATTAGCCACTTCGCAAAATCTTTTTCCGCTTGGTCCAGCCTCATATTTTTCTCGAGAGTGAATATAGAGCAATAATTCCATAAATATGAACGGTTGATTGTTGCCATAACAGTTTCTTGTCTGGTGCCTTTTGGTATGACTGGCAGAATTTGTCTAAAATCACCACCAAGAAGCACCGTTTTTCCGCCAAAGGGTTTGCTTGCTGCATCTAGATCAGCTACTGAGAGTACATCTCTCAAACTCTTATCAAGAGCTTCAAACGCAAATCGATGGCACATAGGCGCTTCATCCCAAATGATGAGATCTGTTTTTTACTACCGTTCGACGATAGGAACGCTTTTTGTTAAGCTGATCTATTGTTATGTAATCTTTGTTAGTATGTTGAACTTGTGTCTTCATCTTTTGTTTGATGATAGCTATTCTGAAAATTTTAAAAAGAAGTAAAAAGTAATTTAGTTTAAGTAACAACCAAAACCAATATGTTTGTAACACGTGAAAACATAATATTAGTTACGTAAAGTTAATGTATTGACAACGACTTGGTTAGTAAATATATAAATATAACATTTTTTTTGGTCAAACATATATAAATATAACATATGCATGATACGTATTGACAAAAACTTGGAATATAACGTAGACTTAGGTTTTGTAAACAGATTAATATAACGTTGCCACGGAGGCATCATACCTATTGACAAAACAGAATGATGTTGAAGCAATGCCGCCGTAAAGCAATGGTGTTTTTTTGAAGAGATTTTGGTTTGGTGAAAAAGTAGGAGACTATCTATTTGTTTATATAGTAGTGAGTATTTAGAATAATTATCTTTTTTAGAATTGTTAATTTCCTTATAATTATCTTTTTACTTTTAAAAATTTAGAATTTCTTACAATTATCTTTTTATAGTTTTTTTTTTTTTTTTTTTTTTTTTTTTTTTTTTTTTTTGTCAACCACACATTAATTATTAAAAAAACTCTTTGATTGGTTGCCCAATTAGAAGGAGTAGTGTTTACAAAAGTAACTTCGGAAAATAAAAGTCTAGAAGAACGGACTAAGCAGTCCGCCTTAACATTACATAAACGAGGTATAAGAGAAAACGAGAATAAGGGGAAAGAGTCACGGAACAGTCCAAAAGCATCTAGCAGATTAGAGAAAGCGGGCCATTCTTCAGGTGATTGTACCATCGAGACTAACTCTGAACAATCTGTTTCAAACGCCTGACAATCAATCCGTCTTGAAAAGACATTCTTCACGGCCCAAATTAACGCTTCCATCTCCTAGTGAAGGGGGGAGGGGGATCTCCGGACGCACTTTGCACCAAGTAGTATCGTTTGATCATTTCCTTGAAAACACCACCATCCTATACCCATAGTTGGATCCGAGATTTCCAAGAGCCATCAATCCGACATCTTATAGATTGGATAGGGCTTTCCAAAATTTCCGTATCAATACTAGTTTCGATTGGTTCCAACTGAGCATCTTCCCACATTAATTTCTCGTTCAAAGAGTGATTTAAAATATCTGTGGGATCAGATTGAATTCTTTTGAAAACTTTTTTATTCCTGTCTTTCCAAATGAACCACAAAATCCAAGCAAAACAATTGGTTCTTTCTCCCCCATCTAGAGGAGGTGGTAACTTCCAGTAAAGATAATCTAGATTTGAAAATTCCGAGCTTAGAGGAAAAGAACCTGAAACCATAGTATTGTGGATAATTCCCATATTTTTTTAGAATGAGAACATTCAAATAAAACATGATTTATTGTTTCCTCTGCCGTCTCACACCTTTTACAGATAATATCACAATGAATCCCTCGTTGTGCTAATTTTGAGGTAACTGCCAAGGATCCCGATGCAATTTGCCATAAGAAATGTTTTATTTTTGGTGGAGCTTTGACTTTCCAAGCTTGTGCTTGTAATTTTCTATAATTTGGACCCCATTCGGTCGTTTCTGTCAAACTTCGAGCAAGCCGATATCCTGATTTTACTGTATATTTTCCTGATTTTGTATAATGCCAAATAAGCCTATCTGGTTTATAAACTTGACTAATAGCTAGTCCACTAATAATTTGAATATCCACCGGATCCAAGAATTCTTGTAAAATTGGGAGGTGCCATTCTTTAGTAACCGGATTAATTAAATGGTTAACCATTAGGCTTGGAAGTAACAAATTCCCTCTTCCATTTGCGGGGCGTGGATTAACATCGGGAATCCAAGGATCTCTCCATACCGATATGTTAAAACCCGAACCAAGAGACCATCTTGCACCCATTTCAACGAGTCTTTTAGTAGAAAAAATACTCTTCCATCCAAACGATGGAGAGTTTGGCTTTTTAGCATTTAAAGGATGAACATTCCTGAAATATCTACCTTTTAACACTCGAGCTACTAATGAGTTTGGATACTGGATTAACCTCCAATACTGTTTAGCCAACATGGCATCATTAAATGTATCTAGAGAATGAAAACTCAAACCTCCTTCTTCTTTATCCATACACATTTTTTCCCATGCTATCCAATGAATTCCACGGTCTTTCCCATTAGAACTCCACCAATAATTAGAAATAGCACTTGTTAACTTAGATGTTAACTCTTGAGGAAGTTTAAAACAAGATATAACATATGTTGGGAGAGCCAAAGCAACAGACTTGATCATTGTCTCTTTCCCACCTTTTGACAGATATTTAGCTGACCAACCATTATCCGTTCATTAAGTCTTTCCCAAACGTAATTAAAGATTTTACTTTTTGAGCCCCCTAGGCTCTCTGGTATACCCAAATAAGTACCCATTCCACCTTCCTTAGTAATACCAAGGAAATGTTTTAGTTCATCTTTCTTTTGGTGTGCTACACGCTTACCAAATATGACCGAAGATTTATTGAAATTTATCTCTTGCCCTGAAGCTTTGCCATAATTTCCAATAATATCCATCACCATTTTACACTGCTCCGTATCTGCTTTACAGAAAAAGAGACTATCATCCGCAAAAAGCAAATGTGAGATTGGAGGACTTCTTTTTGCTATTTTAATTCCGGTCAGCTTCTTCTCTCTTTCTGCTTTTTTAATATTAGCAATCAGGACCTCCGTACATAAAATAAATAAATAAGGCGATAGAGGATCATCCTGCCGTAAACCTCTTTTGGGAATTATATTTCCTCTAGGTTCTCCGTTCAATAAAACTTGATACGAAACGGAACTAACACTCCACATGATCCAAGAGATCCAACTAGAGTTGAATCCTATTCGTGACATAACAGCCTCCAAAAATTCCCATTCTATCCTATCATATGCTTTGCTCATATCTGTTTTAATGGCCAAAAAATCTGTCTTGCACATTCTATTCGTCCTGAGTCCATGAAACATTTCCTGAGCTAGCAATATGTTGTCTGTAATAAGTCTACCTGAAACGAAAGCCGACTGTGTTTCAGAGACTAGTCAAGGTAAAATTTTTTTAAGCCTTAAGCAAAGAATTTTTGAAATAATCTTGTAACTCACATTACAAAGACTTATTGGCCTAAACTCGGCCATCCTCTGTGGCCTTTCGGTCTTTGGAATTAAACAAATATTTGTTTCGTTTATTCTCTTATCAAAACATCCTGTTCTGAAAAAATCACTGACCAAACCTACTAAGTCTTCCTTTAAAGAGTGCCAAAACCTTTGATAAAACATGGCCGTCATGCCATCTGGGCCTGGTGTTTTTTCAGGGTGCATGGAAAATAAGGCTTTCCTAACTTCTGCTTATGTAATCCCTATGGTTAGCTCTCTATTCATATCTTCCGTAATAATAGGAGATACTTCATGTACCATCTCAGCGATGCCATTTGTATTGGAAACATTAAATAGATACTTCATGTACTATCTCAGTTGCTATATCTTCCATTCCTGCTTCTAATTCCTCCCAAACATCATTAGGGCCATATAAACCTGAAATCTTATTTCTTGCCTTTCTTTTTTTAGTGGAAGCATGAAAAAATTTGGTATTTTTATCTCCCACTTTTAACCAAAAATTTATGCTCTTTTGCTTCCAATACATCTCCTCCTCCTGATAGGCTTCATTTAATTTATTTTCGATTCTTTTTATCTCCTCTTGCGGAATCGAATCATCATTCTTCGCTTCTTCCAAAGCCAACTTAAGGGAAGAAATATTAGCCTGGCCTGTCGGGATATTATTTTTCCTCCACCATGAAATGGAATTTCTACAATTTTTAATTTTATCCACAAAAACAGGAACTCTAAAATTTCTTGTTCGATTCAACCCCGAATCTATGGCCTCAGTAAGACCATCCTTCCCAACCCATCTCTTATCAAACCGAAATTGGCGTTTTTTCCTCGCCAAAGATTTTTCGCAACTCAATAGAATCGTTCTATGATCAGAACCAATCATATCCAGATATTCCACTTTTGAATAAGGGAACAAATTGTGTCAATCCTCATTTCCCAAAGCCCGATCAAGCCTGCATCTCACAATTTGTTGGTTTCTATTACCTCTCCATGATAATTGTTCACCATAGCACGAAAATTCTAACAATAATTTTCTGTCAGGTCAGCTCCTATTCCCTGACAGTTCCAGCTCAAGGCTTTCACGTATTTGCCGGTGGTTTCAGGAGCGCCACCATCCCTTTCTTCGACAATCGATTTGCACCATCCGTTTTTTCCCCCTCCTTTGGTTTAGATTTACCCGCAGCTTTCTGTTTGTTAACATCACCTGCAGATTTAAGAGTCATAGCCTTAGACAACAGTCTTTTCCCTGGTGAAGCCACAAGCATTGCATAATTCTTACTACCTTTTACCCCTTTGATTCCCTGAGCACTTGAAGCTCTATTTTTCTGATTCTTATTACTAACAAGGCTAAAACATTTAATTCCCTGACTAACCTTATCAACATGTAACTCATTAGAGATTTGAGCAATACCTTTTAAAGCACTTTTTTCCTCCGTAGAAATCTCCTTTTTCCTATCGTCCACAATTTCTTCATCTGCAGCATTAGTGTCGAAATCCTCACTAACATGACATTCTCCATCCTCTAGGAGATCATCGGTGCTTTTCGAAAAATGCAGACCCACGGAGGGATTTATAGTTTTAAAATTAATAAAAGGAAATTTGCGCTTTACACATGTCAAAATCTGAGATCGTTAAAATTGTCACATGTCACGATCCTATGAGTTATTGACTTTGAAAACCATACTTTATATAATAAGATATTTCTGTTCACCTCGGTTTGATTTCAATTTAACTATATTCTATTTTTTCCGGTTTAAGTTTTTTTAACCCGTATCTCTCCGTCTGCGAGAAAAAGAATCATTTGTTTCTCCTCTCATCAACAACACTTGTCTCACTCAATCGTTTTCTCTTAGACGTTAGTTTCAACTTTCAACAAACAAACAATTAAACAAACACACAAAGTTTGTGTTTCCCTTAAGATTCACTCAAATCTCGCAACACACAACAACAAATCCTGATTCATAACATCTCACCAAATCTCTCAAAAGATCTAAAAATCCTCCAAATGTTCTTCTTCTTCCTCTAAA